CTGGTACTGGTGCTGCTATGCTTCCTCCCAGTGCTCTGCTCCAGCTCTGCCTCCCCACATTAGTAAGAGCCCCATACCAGAGGGATATAGCCAGGACACATGGCAGGCTCTGGGCCAGTGCCCAAGCATGTCCATCAAAGGGATCCAGAAGAGTGCTGTTGATGTGATTGGAGAAGCACCTAGCTCAGGCATGGGGTCTTCTGTGTGGGATTACCTCTATCTGCCCTGCTCTGCCTGTGCTCTGCCATCCTCCTGGGGCACGTGGCCCCACTCTACCTGCCCCAGATCATCTTCTGCATTGTCCCCATTCTGACTCTCACTGCCCTGCCTGTTGGTGAGTAGTCCCAGCATCAGCTCCTGGCTCCAGCTGCAAACTGGAGATTTCTGTTACCCATTATCCAGCATGCTGGTTCCAGAGATTAATTTTCCCTGCTTACCACTAATGCTACAGCTATATTGACCCACGGGGGCTGTCCTCCCCTGCCCTTCTCCTCCCGACATGCACCTGTGTCAGCTGGAGGGGGAGTGGGAGCCACCCCCAGCTGATGGAGCGCAGCCAGGCACTCATCCCACTGTGCAGGGCTGCTGGCATTGCTCCGTGCGTCAGAGCACTGGGCTCAGACTGAGTGGTGCCTGCTGCTGTGCCAGGGCAGGAGTTGCTGCCCTTCACACCAGTTGCTGCTCTGATCCACTCTTTACTGAGGTCTGAGTGTCGGGAAAGGAAGGAACCTGCTCCTCCAGGAGTAATTCCACCACAGATACCTCCCTGGGTATTCACAGAGATCTGATTCTGCAACCAAAAGGACAAAGAAGTTGGAATTGCGTCCTACTACTATTTTCTAAAAGTTATCCTGCACCTCTGATCTGGACCCTGAGGGACACAGCAGCGTCCCTGGTGTGCTACTCCTGGCATGCTGCTGAGCAGCAGAGCCCCAGCCATCCCCATGTCCAGGGAGGGATAGCTGTGTGAGCCCAGTCCCTGGCAGACAGCATGCAAGGCTGGTGGTCCAGGCATCCTCAGCAGCAGGATCATCCCTGGCCCTGGCAGGGGTGGCTGTGCTGGCCAGGGCTCAAAACAGAGCTGCTGCTCTGAATGTAGTCACAAGTTATTAACAGCAAGCAGTCTGCAATGACCCTTTTTTGGCAGCCCAGATTTGTCATGCAGATCTGCAGCCTCACAGGGTTGTGCAGAACTGACTGTTTGTCCCCACCGGGAGAGAAAGGCAAACCTTGGCTGGAGGCTTCCAGAGTATTGATGGCAAAGGGAGGTTTGGGGGTACCCTGGGCTCCAGAGTCTGACGTGTGTCTGTATCATGTTTCTCCTTATTTCTCCTGTTCTAGAGGCCCAAGCGGTCTCGAGGTGTCCCCATGTCCAGGGGGAAGCTGGTGACAGAGCAGGTTAGGGGCTGCTCTACCTGGTCGGGTTCCGGTGCTGGTGGGTGAGCACCGCCGGTCACCCCTGGGGGTTGGTGCCCAAGTCTTCTGCCCGCAGCCTGGCCGAGTGTCCCCGCTTCCCTCCCGGCAGAGAAGGGGGAGCAGCCCCGGCCCCCGCACCTCGGAGTTCCTCCGCAGCTGGAAAGACCCCGTCAGGTTCCCACGGACCCCGAAGGGGATACTCCCCCCTCACATGCAAGCGTACCCAAAATAAGGGGGCGTGGCGGCAGCAAGCCCCTCCCCCCTATAAGAGAGCGCTGCGGCGGGGATTGCAGCAGCCGCAGCTCAGCGCCGAGCCCCGCAGCACCGAGTAACCGGGACAGCCCGCACCCCCCACCGCAACATGGTGAGTGTGGGCCGGCGGCGGGCACGGTGGCGGGGAGGGCGCCCGGCAGCCCCTCGGCGATGCCCTTGCAGCCCCCCCGCAGCACCGCGCCCGGCGGAGCGGCCGCGACTCACCCCCTCCTTCCCCGCCGTGACCTTGGGCAGCCCTGCCGGCCCCTGCCCGGGGGCAGCCGAGCCCCCTCACCCGCTCCCCCCGCCGCCGATGCCGGGGTGCCTGCCCTCCCCCCGCTGCCGCAGCGGGGAGGGCCCTGGGGATGGAGGGGGGTGACCTCTCCGGTGGGGAGCGGTGGCGGGGGACGGACGGGGACAGCTGCTGGGGGTGGAGGCGCCAGCCAGGCTCCGGGGGCCGGAGCTGGGCGCTCGGCAGGGCTCCCCCCACGGCAGCGGACGCCCCGTCGGGGCTGGTGGCGGGGCGCGGTTGTGGGGGTCTCGTCCCTCCAGTCCCGTCCCGCGGGGGTATGGCAGCGGCAGAGCGGGCCGGGGCCGCTCTCCGAAGCGGGCAGTCGCCGCTGCCCTTGCCCGGGGCCGGGGCTGTCTATATTTAGCGGCTCGGGAGTGGGCCAGGGCCGTGCCAGGAGGCGCAGCGCCCTGCCCTCCCCGCCGCAGTGCTGACCGGGCTCTGCCGGGGGCTCTGCTGGGGACCCTGCCCAGGATTGCCCTCCCTTCCTCCCGGCGGCTGGGGCTGCCCCTGGCCCTCCCGCAGGAGTCAGGAGCCCTTGTCCTACTCCGGCGCTGAACCGAGACACGGACCCCATCACAGTTCAGGGCACTGTGCAGTTGGGGAATGCAGGAGGAAAATGCTCCAGGACGCCCAGGCTGAGTCGGGGTGTCCCACCAGGGGAAGCAGGGATGCTGGGAGTAATGAAACAGGGATGCTAGTACTAGCAGAGGCAGGTTGCCAGGGACAGGGGACCAAGGGTGCTAGGGGCAGCAGAGGAGGGATGCCGGGGTAGCAGAGCAGGCCTAAACCTAATGTATGGGAGTGCACAAGGTACATCTCCAGCTCACAGCCTGCTCCCCAGCACTTCTGCCAACACAGGTTTTGCAGCACAGGGTTGGGACTGTGTAGCCTAGGGAATCTCTATGCTGCCTCAGAAACTGCTGGACTTCACTGCCAGCCCTCACCTGGCTGCCACCCACCACCCTTGCATCTCCAAGGCCACTCACCCCAGGAAACTGAGGACTTATCTGGCTCTGGAGCGGCAGACAGGGCAGTTCCCCCATGCTGGTTGTCACTCATGGGTTAAATGTGTGCCCCTGTCAACTCAGCCCCTCACTGGACTGCTGTGGCAAGGAGAAGGGGCTGGGTCTGCCAGGGACCCTGGCAAAGTGGCTGGGGCAGGAAAACTGGACCAGGCTCTGCTCCCCATGCTGGTGGAGGACAGGCCTGGACAGAGTCTGTTGTGCTAGTGGCTGCCAGCAAGGGCAGGGCAAGAGGGATGCCAGAGTTGGCTCTCGACCCAGCAAGTGTCTGTGCATGGCTGAGGGCAATGACAGACATATGGGGCCCCTCAGGAGCACACAGGAGGTCACCCGAAGGAAAACATGCTCTTGAGGGTCGCTAACCAGAGCAAGTTGTGTGTGGGTGACTCTGTGGCACTGGCACCAGGCAGAGTGCTCCCTGGGACAGGCAGAACAAAGCTGTGCCAGGATCTGACCCTGCCTCCCCCTCCCCAGCGCGAGTGCATCTCCGTCCACGTCGGCCAGGCCGGCGTCCAGATGGGCAACACCTGCTGGGAGCTGTACTGCCTGGAGCACGGCATCCAGCCCGATGGGCAGATGCCCAGTGACAAAACCATTGGCGGAGGGGATGACTCCTTCACCACCTTCTTCTGTGAGACCGGAGCTGGGAAGCATGTGCCACGGGCCATCTTTGTGGACCTGGAGCCCACTGTGATTGGTGAGTGTACCCTACTGGGCAGTGACAGTGGTCATTATTTCTGTGAACAACCCATTGCAGGACACTCCCTAGAGTGGCTTCTGCCACCTTTCCCCAGGCCTAGTTAGAAAATCTCTGTCATTGTGCCAATGTCTCCTAGATGAGGTTCGGGGAGGAGTCTACCGCCAGCTCTTCCACCCTGAACAAATGATCACTGGCAAGGAGGATGCTGCCAACAACTATGCCCGTGGGCACTACACTATTGGCAAAGAGATCATTGACCAAGTGCTGGACAGGATCCGGAAGCTGGTAAGTGACTGCAGAGAGGGGACATGTCCCCCTGACTGGTGGGATCCAGCATCCTTTGGGGAATGGGAGCAGGGAGTGAGCTCCTCTATACCCTGGGAGGAATCTGCAGCTACCCAAGCAAACGTTTGAAACTTCCCTTGAGCCAAGTCAGTGCTTGGAGGAACCTTACTTGTCTCTCTCTGCAGGCTGACCAGTGCACAGGACTCCAGGGATTCCTTGTGTTTCACAGTTTTGGAGGTGGCACGGGCTCTGGGTTCACCTCCCTGTTGATGGAACGACTCTCTGTTGACTACGGCAAGAAGTCCAAGCTGGAGTTCTCCATCTACCCTGCACCACAAGTCTCCACTGCTGTGGTAGAGCCCTACAACTCCATCCTCACCACACACACTACCCTGGAGCACTCAGACTGTGCTTTCATGGTGGACAACGAGGCCATCTATGACATCTGCCGCAGGAACCTGGACATCGAGCGCCCAACCTACACCAACTTGAACAGACTCATCAGTCAGATTGTCTCATCCATCACAGCATCACTGAGGTTTGATGGAGCCCTGAATGTTGATCTGACCGAGTTCCAGACCAACCTGGTGCCCTACCCTCGCATCCACTTCCCCCTGGCCACCTATGCCCCTGTCATCTCCGCAGAGAAGGCTTATCATGAGCAGCTATCAGTGGCCGAGATCACCAACGCCTGCTTTGAGCCAGCCAACCAGATGGTGAAGTGTGACCCTCGCCATGGCAAGTACATGGCCTGCTGCCTGCTGTACCGTGGGGACGTGGTGCCCAAGGACGTCAACGCCGCCATTGCCACCATCAAGACCAAGCGCAGCATCCAGTTTGTGGACTGGTGCCCCACGGGCTTCAAGGTGGGCATCAACTACCAGCCGCCCACGGTGGTGCCAGGGGGTGACCTGGCCAAGGTGCAGCGCGCCGTCTGCATGCTGAGCAACACCACAGCCATCGCCGAGGCCTGGGCTCGCCTGGACCACAAGTTCGACCTGATGTACGCCAAGCGCGCCTTTGTGCACTGGTACGTGGGCGAGGGCATGGAGGAAGGGGAGTTCTCTGAGGCACGGGAAGACATGGCTGCTCTGGAGAAGGATTACGAGGAGGTGGGCCTGGACTCCTACGAGGATGAAGAGGAGGGCGAGGAGTAGAGAAGCCTCAGCCAAAAAGGACCATGCTCCTTCCCAATGTTACCTGCAGAAACCCTTTGCAATAAACCATTTCAGAGCCTCTGTGTCTCCCACTATCCCCCCAGCTGTATTGGTTTCTTGCCAGGTCAGGTGTGTGGTGAGTGCTTCAGCCCTGGTACTGGTGCTGCTATGCTTCCTCCCAGTGCTCTGCTCCAGCTC